CATTATCCCAGTCCAGAATCCTGGTTTTCCTCTTCACGGATGAGCATGTGATATGCTTAAGCTGCCACCAAAATAATTCCCAGTGCCAAAACACTCTGGAGATAAGCAGATGGTGCTATATCGGCGTCCACGTCTCAAAGTGCGGGATTAAAAATAAACAAGCGCACATTGTGAAAGGCATGATCTCAGCGCTGGCGCTCACACAGGCTTTACACTTCAGCTGCAAAAACAAAGTGGACACTGAGAGTGTAATGCTGGTGATACTGCAATAAAACTGAGCTCAAACACAATAAGACGCAACACAAAGTACACTCCAAAAAAAAATGCTTTTCTTAGAAGTTTTGTCTTGTTTCTAGTGCAAACATCATATATGATCATATAGAAAGGGTTAGCGTAAAAAGTAATCTAAATGTAATCCAGATTACGGTACTTTAAATGTGTTAATCTGTTATATTACTGACTACAAATTTTATAACTGATCAGTAATCAGTATTTAGTTATTAAAGAATAAAAATTTCACATGAGAGACTAATAGTTTAGTCTATGTATGTGACTTCAAATAAGGATTAATGTAAAAGTAATCTAAATGTAATCCAGATTACATTACTGTAAAAGTGTTATGAGTTATAGTACTGACTACTAATTTTGTAACTAATTAGCAATCAATAAACAAGTTAATAAAAGAATTAAAATTTCACATTATGGCTAATAATTTTGTCTGTGTATGTGACATCGAATAAGGGTTAGCATAAAAGTAATCTAAATGTAATCCAGATTACGGCACTAAATGTGTTAATCTGTTAAAATGCTGATCGATTTTGTAATGGATTAGTAATCAGTAACTAGTTAATAAAATAATTATAATTTAATTTGAGGGCTAATAATTTTGTCTATGTATTTGACATCAAATAAGGGCTAGTGTAAAAGTAATCACGATTACATGAATACACATGTGTTAATCCATTATATTAATGACTAAATTTTTTGTAACTGATCAGTAATTTGTAACGAGTTTTTGAAAGAATTACAATCTCATTTGAGTGCTAATATTTTGTCAATGTATTTGACATCGAATAAGGGTTGGCATAAATGTAATCTAAATGTAATCCAGATTACGGTACTTTAAACGTGTTAATCTGTTATATTACAGACAACACATTTTGTAACTGATCAGTAATAATCAGTAGCTAGTTATTAAAAAAAAACTCACATGAGGGCTAATAATTTTGTCTATATGACCTAAAATAAGGGTTAGCATAAAAGTAATCTAAATGTAATCCAGATTACGATACTTTAAGTGTGTTAATCTATATACTACTGACTACAAATTTCAAAACTAGTTATTAAAAGATAATAAATTTCACATAAGGGCTAATATTTTGTCTATGTATTTGACATCAAATAAGGGTTAGAATAAAAGTAATCTAAATGTAATCCAGATTACGGTACTTGAAATGTGTTAATCCGTAATGTTACACACCACACATTTTGTAACTGATCAATAATGATTTGCTAGTTATTAGCTAAAACAATTTTAATTTCCCATGTGAGCTAATAGTTTTGTCTATGTATGTGACATCAATAAGGGTTAGTGTAAAAGTAATCTAAATGTAATCCAGATTAGGTTACTTTAAATGTATTAATCTATTGTATTAATAACTACAAACGTTGTAACTGATCAGTAACTAGTTATTAAAAGAATGAAAATTTCACATGAGGGCTAATATATTGTCTATATTTTTGACATGAAATAAGGGTTGGCATAAAAGTAATCTAAATGTAATCCAGATTACGGTACTTTAATCGTGTTAATCTGTTATATTACAGACTACCAATTTCGTAACTAGTTATTAAAAGAATTTAAATTTCACACGAGGGCTAATATTTTGTCTTTGTATTTGACATCAAATAAGGGTTAGAATAAAACTAATCTAAATGTAATCCAGATTACGGTACTTTAAACGTGTTAATCTGTTATATTACAGACTACACATTTTGTAACTGATCAGTAATAATCAGTAACAAAAAACTCACATGAGGGCTAATAATTATATTATTAGACATAAAAAAGGGTTAGCATAAAAGTAATCTAAATGTAATCCAGATTACGGTACTATAAATCTGTTAATCCATTGTATTATAGACTAGAAACTTTGTAAATGATCAGTAATCAGTAACTAGTTATTAAAAGAATTTAAATTTCACTCGAGGGCTAATATTTTGTCTTTGTATTTGACATCAAATAAGGGTTAGAATAAAACTAATCTAAATGTAATCAAGATTACCGTACTTTAAACGTGTTAATCCATTATATTACAGACTACACATTTTGTAACTGATCAGTAATCACTTGCTAGTTATTAAAATAATTAAAAATTTCACATGAGAGCTAATAGTTTTGTCTATGTATGTGACATCAATAAGGGTTAGTGTAAAAGTAATCTAAATGTAATCCAGATTACGGTACTTTAAACGTGTTAATCTGTTATATAGCTGACTACACATTTTGTAACTGATCTGTAACAATCAGGTATTAACAAAAAACTCACATGAGGGCTAATAATTACATTATTAGACATAAAAAAGGGTTAGCATGAAAGTAATCTAAATGTAATCCAGATTACGGTACTATAAATCTGTTAATCTAATGTATTATAGACTAGAAATGTTTTAACTGATCAGTAATCACTTGCTAGTTATTAAAATAATTAAAAATTTCACATGAGAGCTAATAGTTTTGTCTGTGTATGTGACATCAATAAGGGTAAGTGTAAAAGTAATCCAGATTACGCTACCATAAATATGTTAATCCTTAATGTTGGCTACAAATTAATAAGTAATCCACCCAGCTGAGCTTGTATGAGGAAACGTCAGCTGATGTTGTTACAGAAATGAAAGCGGGGTGAATCAGCGAAAGCTCTTAATAATTATTTGAAAGGTCACCTGCGCCGCACCTTTTCCTAACACACGCTGCAATTTTAGGAATGTGTCGAACGCAGCACAAACTCATGTTCAGTCCATTCCAGCGCCTGCAGTCATTTCTGAAGAGACATACTGTACAGAGGCGGTCACTGGGGCAGAACACGTTCACAACGTACACTCTTTATACCTTATTTACCACTAAAGGTTCATATTGTGTCTCGATATCTCATCACAGTGACTATATAGAAGTAAGAAAGAAAAAAACAACCCCAATTGAACACAATCAATAGTTGCAATAAGACTGGCCAATCACATTTCAGGATGCAAATCAGTGCACGAATAAAACCCTGTTATAATTAGGCATATAAATAAAGGAATGATTGTAATTCAGGATGCAAATACACTTACCTGACTAAAGTCTTGTGGCCTATCCAAGTTTTAGGAACAACAAATAATAACTTGACTTCTAGTTGATCCAATCCTGGAGCAGCTTGACCTTCTCTGCTTTCAGGAGCTTTGATGTGGAGGCTGAAGTATGAGGAGCGCTATCCTGCTGGAGAATTGTCCCTCTCCTGTGGTTTGTAATGTAATGGGCAGCACAGATGTCTTGATACCTCAGACTGTTGATGTTGCAGATCTCTCGCACGACCCCATACTGAATGAACCCCAAACCATGACTTCTCCTTCACCAAACTTGACTGATTCCTGTGGGAATCTTGTGTCTGTGTTGGTTCCAGTAGGTCTTCTGCAGTATTGGTGATGATTGGGATCAACAGATGATTCAGCAGAGAAATCCACCTTCTGACACTGTTACAAATGATCAACTAGAAGTCGAGTTATTATTTGGTGCTCTAACAGCTGAGATCCACCACAAGACTTTTGCCAGGTGTAGAAAGATCAAAGACCAACTACAATTCAGGATGCAAATATATGCAAGAATGCAAACCAATCACGATTCAGCTGTCATTTAATTACCCCAACTGGTTCTTTGTATTTAATTAGACCAAACAATTATTTTAATAATGTTATATTTAGTCAACTGATTAATATTGCAATGTTTACTACTGTGTTGAAACTTTTATTAATAAAGCTTCCATTATACTAATGGTTCAATAATACTAATAATTTCCTTATTATAATAATAATAATAACAGCAACTGCTTTTGTCATTTTTAGGTGAGACAATTAATCTGCAAGACTACTTTTTGGCTCACTTGTATTAATTTGGCATTTTAATATAACAATGGAGGTCATTAGTATTATTCAGCATCTTTTAGTATTCAGGCTTGGTTTTGATTCTGAATTATCCTCTGGAAGTTAAATAAAGCCCCATAATGCACTCAGAATCGCTTAACTTTTGCATTCTGAGAGATCTTTATTTTATAAAACAGTGAATATTTAACCATGGACTGCATTATTATAACTCTATTTAAATAATTAGACACATTTTTGAGGGGAAATTTCAAATCATAATTCTATTTATGAACTATTATTATCTTAATATTACCTTATTATATTAGAAATTAAGTAGAACATATCTGATATAACATTATTATTTGCATTTAAATGAATGGACTGTTATTACATTTCTTTGACATGATAAATGCTCAAAAACAGCCAATTTTTTAAATATAATTCTTAAGGAACATAAATATTACTCCCAGTAATACATATATTGCTGATTTAGTTTTGAAACTACATCATAGCATACATAAATATTGATTTATCAGCGAATATCAAGTCAAAACTGACACGTTTATCCACATATCTGACAAAATTAACTCCATTTGCAGAATCAGATGATCAAAATCAAAAAGCAAAAGCACCAAATATTCAACTTTAAATAGGAAAATCTGCACTAATGTTAATTCTATGGGGATTTACAACCTTTCCTTTATAAATAAGCATTGTTTTTAGATATTTATGAACTGAATGCATTATGAGGGTTATTAATGCATGCATTTTGTGCTGATGTCACATTAAATATAGGATGCAATTTTAAAAACATTAGATATAACAAAGCAAAAACACTTTGCTTACAGAACACGGAGGAAGAAAGTAAAAAGCAACACCAGGGCTTTATTCTTGCCTAAATTTTCTTTTATTGAAAAAGGCCAGGGTGCAAATGTCAAATAAAAAGTAAAAATAAAAAATAAAAGACAAGCATATATTTTCAAGCATTTTAATACAAACTTAATATAAACTATTTCAGTCCCTCCTGACATGTAAGACACTGACTCAAAATACTTTGTTATACCATAATTTGTTTATCAAGTATTGCACAATGTAGGTACAAAATTAATATATACGATTACATTGTCCGTAATATAGCAAAAATCTGTTTGAACTCTTAACAGAAAATACAACTCTTTTTGTTTCAAAAAAGCAAATATTCCGCCACTGAACTCCCGACGCGAAGGAATATCCTGTACACAATCTTTAGAGTTTGAGCTAGGTTTCTTAAAGATGAATTTCTTTCTTAAAAAAAGGAAACGAACAAACAAAATATATTATAATAACATAAAGCTTCTGCAGCCATCACAGATCACTGGAGTAGTAAAAAGATATAAATGCAATACCATGTTGTAGAAACAATATATATACTCTGATATTTTACAAACTCTGTACTCAATTAAATTATACAATTAGAAAAAAGAGACCACGTAACCCCAGGTATTTCATATGTAGTGCCAATTTCTTAAAAATCAGCCAAGTCTTACCCACTTTAAAATACTGTAAGAGGCCAGAACTTGAACTTCTGTGTTTTTTCCCAACATTTTAGAGTGTTTTTCTTCCAAAAAGGTAGTAAAAAATCGTTTTTTTGTTGTTTTTTTTTGCATTATTGGCAAAAAAGGAAAAGACAACATTGACGTGTGTTGACCAGGCTTGGATGTGCATGTGTATATGTGTAAGTGTGTGTGTGTGTGTGTGTAACACAAGCTTTTAGTACAAACTCAAGGGGGTCAAGATTGAAGGAAGAAAGAAAATAAATCAAATTAAATAACACCCTTGGGCACATGCGCTTATCGGTGACGACTGGGGTCTTGGTTTCCACATCGCAAGTGCGTCTTTGCCTTTCGTTTTCCTTTTTACGCCAACAATCGCTCCTCAGTTAGCCATGACCGGCTGGAACTGCTGGTTTGAATACTGCATGTTGCCCAGACTGAAGTTTAAGCCCTCTATGAGCGACTTGTCATTGACGTTCCCGTACGCCGTGAACACGTCGAAGGCATTGCCGTACGGCAACGGGCTGAGCGCGTTCTCGCTAGCGAATGCTGCGCTGGAGCCCTGCAGATTGGGGAACACAAACTCCTTGGCGTTGGGAGACAAAGCGGAGGGTTTCTGTGGCTGCGGACTCCCAAGACCGAAACCGTAGAGCGAATGCATGGAGCTGGAAATGGCTTTCTGCTTGAGGAGGCTGTTGACATTCAGGCCCAAATTGGTGGGCGATGTGCGTGCAACTTTCCCGCCGTTTCGGCCGCTGTTCTTCATTTTAGTGGAGCCGAATTTGGTGGCGGCAAATGAGGCGGTGGTGAAGGTTAAAGGCTGAGCGGAGCGTTGCGGCATGAAGGACGGACTGACCGACGCCGACTGACCGAATGGCGGCGGCGACGGAGAACTAGACTCGGAGGACACGCCCACCGGCTCGCTGATTGGCATGAACACCTGAGCCTCGGGGTTAAAACTGTTTCTGATTTCTTTATCCAACTCGGAGCCGTTTTCGCTATTATCGTCAATGTATAGCACCTTAACGGCTCCCTTTTCTCCAATCTGATAGGACACCTCGAAAGGGTCGATCCAAACGCTGAGGTCCTGAGGCAAGTTATTGCGGACATCTTCGATGTCCAGTCCGCTTTCTTTGGCTGCTTCTTCAACGACCGGATCTACTTTTTCGCCCACGTGGATACACCTAAACCCGGATCCTTTATATGGCTTATCGGGGTACCAATGTCCTTCGTATTTCTTCTTTAACTGCCTCTCCAGCTCCTCGCCGAAAATGTTGACTCGCCTCCGTGGGAGTTTGTTGTATAGATAGGAAATGATGAAGTTCAGCGCTACTTGTATTTCAAGCTGCATAGCTGTTTTAGTCGAGAGCTGCGTTTTTAAGTGTCGAGTGCTGCAAAAACCTCCAAGGCAGTAGTGATCAGTGGGTGCTGGTGGATGATGGGAAAAATCGTCTCCTTGAAAAGGGGAAAGAAAAAAAAGGCAAGGTGTTCAGACTGAGCTCCACATTATGTAAACAAACACATCAAACCCTCCATCTGATCTGCTTTAAATTCAGCGCTGAGGGGGATTACATAACACGGATTCTCTTGCCTGCTTATTCCGTCAACTGTTGCGTAAAAACGCCTTTTATGCGAATTTAGGGCATCTGAGCACAATGCGACACAGCCAGGCGATATTGCGCAACAGATCGGCGATCGGATTTCCCGACGGTCGCGACCAATGGCGTGCAGCTCCGCTCGGGGCGTGTGTATATGTTGACCAAATTAGTATGTGTGATCGAATAAACATACGATACACACTGGATTCAATTTTCGACATGTATATTTGTTAGATTCCGCTGTAAACATGCGTCGGGCGTGTTTTAAACCCCGGTGAGCGTCGAACGCTCGGTTTGAGACGCGGCCATTATTATGATGAATATGGAATGAGAACATTCTGGATGCTTTGACGCGGTCAGGAGCGAAATAAACGAGCAAAACAAACAGCAAATGAACGCTTACTGACGGAATGAACTTTGGCACGGTGGATGTTTTGGGATTGTCGTGTGGTCAGCAGAGCTGAGAACTGCCCTGATCACACATTTCCGTAAAGCGCACACACACATACATACACATATAGGAGAGAGAGAGGGGCTCACATGACTATGAGGCGAATTCATCATGAAACGAACCATTTATCAAACACATCCAGCTCTCATATCAAGCAGAATATTAATGATCACCGTCTTGAAGCGATAGCTAACTGAAACTCATCTAAAAAATGATTATATCAGATCCTCGGTCTTTAACCGTCGACGCGTCTTATTTCCATACAATAAACCGGTTATATCGTCTTTTCGTGCTCCACCGAGCTCGACTGTCAGCTATATTGTCATGATCTACCCCTTTAAGGAAATGACATTGAAATGCAGCGATGTATTTACTGAATGATCACATCAGCGCCAGATACTTACATTAAACGACCGTGTTTCTTCTCCGCTTCGGTTGCTAGCTAACAGATGTCGACGGGAATATTCCAGTTGGGTTGCATGGATGTGATTTAGTCGATTTTATGTTGATTTGTCTTTTAAAGTCTGTTGTCAGGCAATCCGACTCCCCACTGCCTGGGAGTTTTTACAACTCTGCCCTTTAAACTCGGCTCTGGATCTGCTTTATAGCGCTCCTCCGCCACGGACATGATGTGGGCGGTGATGCGGTTTCCAGAGGTCAAAACCCCAGCGGTGCTAACGATTGGACGAGCGCGCTGACGTCACATGTTTGCCTCTGAATTCACCTTTCTGGTTGGCTTTGCGCCGCGTCAATAATCAAAGCGTCCCGCCTCGTGACCAATAAGCGTGAAGTACATTCAAGGCTGGCGTTAAATGTTATGTATTAAGTATCTTCCTCCCACACGCAGATCTAAACACTATAATACATCGCCTGTTTTATTATGGTTTATGGAAAACTCCTTAAGCCCTCATAAATCTGTTTCCAGTGTTGTGTGTTCATACGAGCTCCTGACAGTATTAAATGCTGTGAGAATGCTGAATGTGTGTTGATTTCAGCAGGTTGAATAGAGCGCGGAGGGACTCTGGTCATTTGTCCACTGGGCTGTGATTTGTCGTTTGTGTGTGTTTTGCGTCGACAGGTCTTCCTCAGCTATTGGCTGGCCGTGTTTTCGTCATCAGCGTGTATGCAAACACACGCTTGTTCAGGGTCTTCAATGTGGACCCCCAAATATAATAATCCTCTGCGAGGGACCCCAAAATAAAATGTCTTTCTGTAGAAGATTTACATTTATTTTTCTGGGTAAAAAAATAAATATATATTATTTGTATTAAATATTTATCCTGCATTTAGTTTACATTTATTATATATATTCTTTGTACTGTGTTGATTAACTGGTTTATTCATTTGTTTGCTTGTTTATACATTTAAATACATTTATTATTTTAATAATTTATTTAATAATTTATCTGAATCGAGCTGTATGATTGCAGCTTAAAGTAATGGTTAGATTATTTTAATTACAATGTATAATTATTTTAATTATTTATCAATTTTGTTTATCCTTTTTTTCAATATATATATATATATATATATATATATATATATATATATATATATATATATATATATATATATATATATATATAGATGAGCATTATCACACGAGTAGCAGGTGCGATATGGCTGTATATCGGCACTGCTGGGAGGCGCGCTTTGCCTCAAGGCTGCAGACCGAGTGCCTTAGTGTCCCACCAGTGCCGATATACAGCCATATGGCACTGCTATGAGTGTGATATTGCGTTTATACAACAGTTCGACAGCATAATCGTGTATATAAAAAAGATTATTAAACACGGAGAGTCTCAAAAACCCTTTTGTATGAGGAACTACTTTATTCCACCATTCATTCACATCTGTAGAGCTAGTGTTTGAATGATTCTCTAGCGTAATGTCTAAAGTGAAGACAAAACAGCTGATTTTGCTCACTTTTTAAGATTATAAGGCTGAACAGCATGAAATGTCGTGAGTCTACAGAGATTTCCCAGTATTTCTGAGTATGTGATATGAGTCCCATCTCACACTAAACACACTACAATTATATGGTATAAATACGGCACTACAACATACAAAAGAGAAAGATCGACTTGGAATACCTGTTTAATAAAGATTTGATCAGCTGTAGTTTGAAAATACGCAGATCTTTTTTTCCCCCTAAGAGCTTATTATGCAGTCTCTGTCGCCATCTGGTGGATGAACAACGTCAACGGTCTTTGCTCTGCTCAGTATGACAGGCTGATGGAGATAAATATTTTAAATAGGCACTATCTTAATAAATAAACTGCACAGTTGCAATCTAAACAACTGCTTTCTTGCCTGAATTGCCTCAAAAGTACATGATGTTGTCCAACAGCTGCAATATTTGTCAGACTGTAGTGAGTTTTTTAATCTGCTGTCACTCTGTGTGGGCGGAGTAATACACAAGAGTGAAGAGGCTGTACAAGTGCTGATATTGCAGAATATCACACGGCTATAAGCCAATCAGATTCGAGAACCAGACAGAACTGTTGTGTATTACTCAACATACACTATATATATATATATATATAATTACATTTTGAAATATATACATTGTACATATATAAATTTTTTAAACAGTAAAAACAATGAAAATTTTTTTAATTTTTAACATTTTTGCTGTATTTTGGATCAAATAAATACAGGTTTGGTGAGCATTAATGTTTTACTGTTCTAAAACCTTTGATCAAATATACTATACTATAAACTATACTATTGTTTTACTTATGTTTTTATCTTGTCTCTTTTTTTTGTCTGTCTGTTTTGTGCCAGGTATTTCAGTCTGTTTTAAAAAAAGAAAGTATTTTCAAATGTATATGGCTAAATCTTATGCATTTTTTAAAATTATGCAATATACCCAAGATGTGGCTAAACAACCTCACATGTCATCGTTATTTCTTTAAACATAGTTAAAACCATAGCAGCGTGCTTCTGTAATGCAGTGTAAATCAAAACCCAGCTCTTGATCAGTGCCGCATGCATATAGTAAGCTGATCCGCCGGGTTGTGTTGCTTTCTATAGCTTCAGGAATAGTACACAGAGCTCATATTTCATGTCTTGTAAGCCAAGCTCACATATGCAGGAGGTTTAAGGTTTTTGGCACAGGGAATTGTTATAAGCCCAACCAAATATAGGCTTTGTGTTCACAATATGCTGAGGAATATTGAAGACTCCAGGGCCCGAATTCACAAAGGCTAAAAGATGCAAAGCTCCTAATGCACAGATGTAGGAGAAAATCATCAAAATAATGGCGGTCAGGGCTAAATGTTAAACTCTTTTGCTCTCTTTTGCTCTTGCTGTGAGGCGACAGCACTACCTACAGCGCCACTGCGTCTCCATTTATGTATTCTGTATTTATATATTTTAGTATTATGTTGTATTTTATACAACAGTTCTGTCTGGTTCTAGAATCTGATAGCCATGCGGTATTCTGCAATAACAGCACTCATACAGCCTCTTCACCCTTGCGTATTACTCCGCCCACATACAGCAGCAAGCAGAGGATACTCTACAGTCTGACAAATATTGCAGCTGTTGGACAACATCATGTACTTTTGAGGCTTTTTTAGTTTAGAATGTAGTTGTTTAGATCACAACTATGCAGTTTATTTATAAAGATAATGCCTATTTGAAATATTTACCATTTCTGAGATTCAGCACATTGGCGGCCATCAGCCTGTCATACTGAGCAGAGCAAAGACGGTTGACGTTGCACCACAAGATGGCGACAGGGACCGCATATTAAGTTCTTATGCTGCGTTTACACCAGACGTTTACATCAGAGTGTTTTACATGTTAAGTCAATGCAAAGATGCAAATTGTGCTGCGCTAACCAATCATGAACTTTGTCCTGTAGGGGGGTAATTGTGCCTGTTGTTGGTGTCCTGGTGGATGACACCTGACAACAGTTTATCAAACTGGGCAGGGCTTAGTCGGAAGCATCGCTTAAAGCCTCCGTCATCCAGCTGTAGTTTCTAGAGGAGTTGATAAACTCACAAAGCTGGTACACCTCTGAAAGGATCTAGTGGACTCAGACACGGCGCCGAATGAATCTACGTTGTTTTTCAGCCTTCATAAAGCACATAAACACAGCTGTGCGGGAGTTTTCCGGGAGATGGGTCTGAAATACGGGAGAGTGTTGGCAGGTATGGTGCACGATCACATTGGCACCCTTTATTTAGTCACGAGGCGTTAAACGTTGACGAAAACAACGCGAGCAAAAAGCGTCCGGTTGTGAACAGGCCTTAACTCTTGCAAAAATGTTTGTACTCTTGCAAAAATTATCGTTATTTAATGTCAACAACATTAAAAGTAACAAACACTCTTTTCATAATGCAATTCTTGCCCTAATCTGCATTTAAAAATGCTAATTTGAATATGCTAATATTTTTTAAACCTTTATTTGAATATGTAGAAACATTATAGGGTATTGCTCTATCGTTATCTGATTAAATCTCCGACAGAGACCCCTCCCTCTCCCAATCAACCAATCACTGTATTCATAGTTAATGACATCATCCATAGCACAAACCCCGCCCACACTCTCAGTTTAAATCGTCTCTATCTATAACGGTTGTTGCTAGAAGAGATACAGCTGCGGCCAGAAGTTAACAAGATTTATTATTTATATTATTTATTAAATTACTCATTAATAGTATTTTATTAACATCTTCCCCAACCCCCACAGTAATATGTAGTAGTAATTATACTGAGTATTATTAATAATACTTATTAAATTACTCATTAAATTGTATTTTATTAATGTCTACCCCTGCACCAACCCTCACAGTAATGTAAAAACAGTCATTATACTGAATATTATTCATATTATTTATTGAAATTCCCATAAAATTTAGTTTTATTAACATCTACCCCTAAACCCAACCCTTACAGTAATATAAAAACAGCAATTATACAGATTTTTATTCATATTATTTATTAAATTACCCATTAAATTGCATTATATTAACGTCTACCCCTACCCCAACCATCACAACAATGTGAAGCAGTACTTATACTGAGTATTAATTATATTATTTAATAAATTACCCATCACTTACCTAAATATTAATTATTGTTGAACAGTGTCAAAATAAAAAGCTATATTAACGCGAGTCTCCACAGCTGTATCCCTTCTAACTATAATCCTCAAAAGTTCGTCTCGCAGCTTTTAATATAAAAAACTTTTAATGCCATCTAGAAGAACTCCCAGTGCTCTGATCAAATGTTTTGTGAATACAAGCAATGATATTAATCTCACATTAGCCTCACTGATCTCTGAACAGCTGTACTGTATACTGAGATTACTGTGTTTTTAAGCACGTGTCAGAGAGAAATGTAGTCAATCGCTGTATATATATATATATAATCCTGTGGTGCTTGTGTACGCAGTGTTTCTTCATTGGCCTCATTACAGCAGCACTAATGACCGCAGAAGCTAAACTGGGCTGCAGGATAAGCTCATTTGCTCA